TCGATTTTGGTGTTCGCAAGTAGCCACATTGGTGAATAAGATAGACAACATGTATGTGGTGAATGGGGCTCTGATGTATGACCCTATCCAATATGTGAATTATTTGAATGGCCAGAATTTTGACAATTTTCGGAAAGGTCAAGGGAAAAACATATACTATCAAGGCAACCGGAATCATCCTAACTTTTCGTACACTAACCCAAACGATGATCAACAATCGCCTCCCAGAATTTTCAATGACTAATGAGGTCATCAATGAGCCCAAGAAGTCATCGAAGGAGGAGATGTTCACCATGTTCTTGGGTGAAACTCCGGATATGTTTGCTTCGATGAAGAATCATATGAAGATTATTCAGCAGCAAAAGACCCAATTAGCATTGGTTATGGAGAAGAAGACTTTGAGCAAAAGTAAGGAAAAGGCGAATGAATAATGCAATGTTGTCCATATTCGAGAAGAAAAAAATGAAGGTGGGAGCTGTTGAAGGATAAAATGACAAAAACCGATCCCACTATGATTGAGAAGGTCAAGCGAACTTTTAAGGCATACGAGGTTGTGGCCTTGACGGAAGAGTGTAGTGCGAGAATTCATAAAAAGTTTTCATTGAAGTGCTAGGATCCCATGAGTTTTATGATTGATTGCTCTATCGAAGATTTTCACGTGGAGAAGGGCCTTTGTGACATGGGAGCAAGTGTGAACACGATGTCCTTGTCTATGTCCAACAAGTTGGAGACAGAGAAATTTAGGCCAACGACTTGCATTACAAATAGCAGATAGATCTTCGTCCTATCCGAGGGGATGTAAGAGGATGTCATGGTGAAAGTTTGTGATTTTGTTTATCCGACAGTTTTCGTTGTGCTTCAAATGCATGACGACAACGATTGTTTGTTAATTTTGGGGCGATCTTTTCTAGCAACCAGACGTGTGTTGATAGACATCGAGCATGAAGAGTTCACGTTCCGGGCATTTGATAAACATTATACGTTTTTCATTGATCGAGAGACGAAGAAAAAGAAAAATACGAATTATAAGAACAAGGGTCACAATAATATGAAGACTAAGGTTGGGTTAAATGTAGATGACCCATATTGAGAGCTTGAAATACGCCAAGCTAAACACGATAAATTAAGTTTTTGTTGGGAGGCAACCCATCATTTACCATTTTTTTCTTTTTTTTTGTTTATTTATTTATTTTAATTAATTTATTTATTTATTTATTTATGTTTTTTGAAAATATGGAAAATCTGGAAAAAAATAAAATTGAAAGAAACATTATGGTGATCGAGTGGTTCGAGCGAAGCATGGAGAGATAAGATAATTTTAACTAACCATCACTTTCATTCATTCTTACACATCACATCAACTTTAATTCATTACTAGTATTTGATCCTGTGCATTTGCACAGATATAAAACACGTTTTTGTTTGTATTTATTTATTAGACATGTACTTCTATCATATATAAAATATTAATTTTTCTTAAGTTATTTTTATCATTCAAAATTAATTGAGATTTAAATTTTATTTTAACCATGCAACGTTTACATTAGTAACATGAATAAAATAATTTATATATTTGTGGCATATATTAAGAAAAATAACATAAATAAAAAAATATAACGGTTTTAGCAGATTAATGAGTAATTAATTAAAAAAAAGTAACTCTTTTTGGAGGGAAATAAAAATAGGTTTTATTAAATGTTTTATTAAATGCATCAGCTAGTAATTATATATATATATATATATATATATATATATATATATATATATATTCATCCACTAGCATAATTTTAACTACCATCACTTCCAATTATTTTCTCATACTTTTACATCAAATCGACTTTAATTGTTTTATTTTAAGTATTATTTTAATATATCCACTAGTTATACCACATTTTTTTAAACTTAACTATAATAAGAAAGAAAGCAACTTTTTACTAGTTGAATTCATATTCAATCACCCCTTAAGGTATACCACTTATTTTCTTCAAACTTAATTTTTTTTCAAACATTAAGTTTTTAGGGGAGAAAATTGTCTTATATCTTAGGTTCTTATCGCATTCTCACATTCTATATAGTTGCTTGCATTAATCTTATAGTTATGATTTTATTTTATATTTTAGTATTCACGTTTATTTCCTTTTTACGATTAATATTTATTATGAGTCGGTATCTTGTGTATTTTAGATATTAATTGTGGATAAAACTTGAATTGTAAATTGTTGTTTGGTGTAATTGAGAATTTGTGATTATAGTTATGAAAATCATACTTAGACGAATTTGGTAGTGCACCTTGAATTAATGATATATTGGCCTCTAGTGAGATTTGAATCTTATTCCTTGTGTGTGTGATGTAAATGAAGGTCCGTGTTATTAGAATTTGTCTTATTCTTAGTTGAAAAAATAGACATTTGTGTATGTGAGCTTAAAATATGATTTAAGCGTTTTTTGAATTAGCTCATTTTAACTTTAAACTTCAAGAGGGCTACTATAAAAGTATAACTAGTGAGAATCCCGTGCGATGCACGGGGGTTTTTGTAACTTAGAATGTTTTTTCAAAACTTTATTTTAATAATATATCCGTTTATATATTAACATAAATAATATTTCTAACACATATATTTATGTTTTAATACGAAAAAAAATAAAAAATTTACATAAATACTCAAATATTATTTTATTCAAAAATTTAGTGTCGTATAATGTCATTATTATTTATAATACTTATAAATGTAATATTTGTTTGTATAATGATAAATAGTTAATGTAAAGTAATAATATTTATTGATGTAATTAATTTAAAAATATACAATCAAATTTAATGTTTGTAAGGAATCTGAGTATATGTAGGTTAAGATAAAATGTAATGTATCCAGAAAAACCCGAAAAAGGAGCAGCAGAGAGTGGCCCAATGCAAGGCAACAGTCGAGGATTTCCTTTAAATGTTTTGAATGAAATTGATTTTCAAATTACATATCAACCACCAATTTTTCAAAGAATTTAAAAAAGTTAACAATTATAGTAAAATCTAAATTTTTAGTTGAGATTTTATTGGCTTTGTTTGGTAATCAGTTGTTAGCTGTTAGCTGTTAGCGGATTGAATTAGCTGTTTTGACCAGCGGATTGTGTTAGCTGTTTTGACCAGCTGATTGTGTTAGCGGTTTGTAAAAAAGTGTTTGGTAAAATTAGCGGTTTGTAAAAAAGTATTTTTCAATTAATATATTCATGTTTAATGTAGTTATATGTTATAAATTAAAAAATTATTATAATATAATACATATAAAATTAATAAATTATATTGAACTTATAATTAGTTAGGAAATAAAACAATAAAAAAATCATTAATGCATTTAATAAATATAAAAAAATAATACTACAATAACACAAATAAAAATTTAACATCAAATAAAGTGTTTTTTTTCTGTTACATGGCACAAGAAACAACAAAATACAATTTTTAGCTTTAATAATGTGTGTTGTGACATCATTCGTTTCTTTCTTTTTTTCTTTTTCAATTTTCGCTGCTATAAGTTAATTATTTTCTCAAACGCTGTTGCAAAACGCTGCCATTTACAGCGTTTTAGATTTTAGCGTTTTGATCAAAAAAGCCATCATAAAAAGCCACTTTACCAAACATCATAAAATAGCTTTTTGCTAAGGTCAAACAGCTAAAATGATTGAAACCGCCAAAAGCTACCCAAAACGCTATTTACCAAACACAGCCAATGTCTACTTAAATTAAATCTACTTAAATTTAATCTCTATTGCTATTTTATAGTAATAGATGACATTATTAATGAATAAAATATTTAATATATCATAGTTCCAAGTCAAATGAATAAAAAAATTGCAAATTCATTTAATTAGTAAAACAATAGTTGATGAGATAATGAGAATGAAGTTTTTTTTTTTTTCTTTGGTATAAGTACAACTATTCATCAGAATCCCACAATTTTAAAGTCAGATGTATCACAGATTCAGTAAGATTTGTAATTTGAAAAAATATTGATAATTGATGAGATGAAAATGGCCGAATATTTGTTTAAAGTTTTTGATGGAATTTCCCTCACTATACAAAAAAAGGCATTTAGATACGCCTGATCATTTGAAATATTATTTGATGGCAATTATAGAAATTAAGTTATAAGTGGTATTTTTGTTTTTTTTGTTTTTGTTTTTATTTTATGGAATACAATATATTCTAGAAATACATCACATGCAGCGCATCTATGCATGTAATTTGAAGCAGAATATTTCATACCAGATTTAAAATAAAAGGAGAATCTACCATCTCGTTACGGGATGGTTTCGTTGCATTTTTTAACCGTAGATTATCTACACATTACTGGATTACATATATATCTACGACTACAAAAAACAACGAAACCATGCCGTAACGAGATGGTAAAATTTTCCTAAAATAAAATCAAACATAAAATAAAGTTGCAATGGATCCAATCTTTTCTTCAACCATGAATCCAATTCTAGCTACAACATAAGGACCAAGAAAACCAATGAGTTCAATTTAATTAAGCTTTAAGCAACATATTTTGTTCCCCCAAAACAAAAAGAAAATACAAGTCAAGCAATGGCACCAGGTGAAAAGTGTTGGGAACAAAATAAAGGAATTCTGGGGGCATAAACAATGTAACTTCATAAATAACAGTATTCCATAATATGTATGAGTTAGATAATCACAACACATTGCTATAACCCAACTATATAAAATGAAAAACTTAACACAAAAGCTTATAAAATGTAATACTAACACAAAAGCAAAAATTTGGGCTATAACTATCAATGAGCTACGCAATATTAATGAACTCTCATGGCGCCGATTTTAGAGCAAAGGAAAGAATGAAAACACCAAAAAAAACAATTTCGACCAACCTTCTTTAGTAACAACCGCTCGGTATGCATGAAAACTATTGTGTTAGACGGATGATACATAATATTCTTAAATGGGTTTTTGTGTGCAAGAAGACAAAAGTAAAGTATTCTCCTTAACGACAATAGAGCTTAATAAAGGAATCTGCACCCGTCGTGAACAACCAAGATTGTCTCGGGTGAAACTTGAGATCCAAAACTCCTGCAAAAAGCACACGCACATAATTAATAATATGAGAGAAAAAGTGCAAATATATAACTATAAATAAAATAAATCTAATTCATAAAGACCAACATTGACACTTGCAGTATTATATATATACACACACACAATTAAAACAATACATATTATAGTTACCGGTCATATTTTCACTAACTAATTATAATTATTTAAATTACTCACACATCAGATGAAGCAGATGAAGTTGATGAAGCAAAGTATCTTCAGACAATAGACTTCCTATTTGCATTCACACTTAAATTTTGAGGCGCGGGTTACAAAAAATTACCTCGTCCATCAGCACTTGAATGCACTCGAAGGATCTCCAAAAAAACAATCAGAGGGTTCTAATTCATATTAGAATAGACCATGCCATGAAAATCATATGTCGTGCAATCATCTGAGCACAAGGACA